TTCGTTAACAGCTTATATAACCGGAATATTCACGGATTCAAAAAATTTGATGACATGTTACTTACACGAAAAGATTTAGAATTTTAAACTAAAGTTAGCGGTATTGATGGTATTTGAAGCTTTAACAGTGCAGAGGTTTTTGATCGCAGTACTGAAGAATGGTGTATAGATACTAGACACCATTTTTCAATACTTCAAAGATGCGGTCAAAAACCTTTGCACTGTTTAAACTTTTAATACCACCCAATAATAGTTAGGGAATATTTTTATTCCTATTACAATTGTAGCAAATATATTAAAAATTTAAAATAATGTCAAATAGAACCTTAGTTAACAGCTTAAATAACCGGATTATTAGCATATGCAAAAAATTTGATAACACGTGTAAGTAAAAAGAAATGATTTACAAGATTAAACTAAGATAGAGGTATTGATGGTATTGGAAGTTTAAACAGTGTTGAGGTTTTTTCACGCAGTACTGAAGAATGGTGTATAGATACTAGACACCATTTTTTAATACTTAAAAGGTGCGTCAAAAAACTTCAACACTGTTTTAACCTTTAATACCACCTAATCATAGTTGGGGATTATTTTTATTCCGAAGAATTTGTAGCACATGTATTACAAGTTTAAAATAATGTAAAATAGAACCTTCGTTAACAGCTTATATAACCGGAATATTCACGGATTCAAAAAATTTGATGACATGTTACTTACACGAAAAGATTTAGAATTTTAAACTAAAGTTAGCGGTATTGATGGTATTTGAAGCTTTAACAGTGCAGAGGTTTTTGATCGCAGTACTGAAGAATGGTGTATAGATACTAGACACCATTTTTCAATACTTCCTAGATGCGGTCAAAAACCTTTGCACTGTTTAAACTTTTAATACCACCCAATAATAGTTGGGGAATATTTTTATTCCTATTACAATTGTAGCAAATATATTAAAAATTTAAAATAATGTCAAATAGAACCTTAGTTAACAGCTGATATAACCGGATTATTAGCATATGCAAAAAATTTGATAACACGTGTAAGTAACAAGAAATGATTTACAAGATTAAACTAAGATAGAGGTATTGATGGTATTGGAAGTTTAAACAGTGTTGAGGTTTTTTCACGCAGTACTGAAGAATGGTGTATAGATACTAGACACCATTTTTCAATACTTAAAAGGTGCGTCAAAAAACTTCAACACTGTTTTAACTTTTAATAACACCTAATCATAGTTGGGGATTATTTTTATTCCGAAGAATTTGTAGCACATGTATTACAAGTTTAAAATAATGTAAAATAGAACCTTAGTTAACAGCTTATATAACCGGAAAATTCACGGATTCAAAAAATTTGATGACATGTTACTTACACGAAAAGATTTAGAATTTTAAACTAAAGTTAGCGGTATTGATGGTATTTGAAGCTTTAACAGTGCAGAGGTTTTTGATCGCAGTACCGAAGAATGGTGTATAGATACTAGACACCATTTTTCAATACTTCAAAGATGCGGTCAAAAACCTTTGCACTGTTTAAACTTTTAATACCACCCAATAATAGTTAGGGAAGATTTTTATTCCTATTACAATTGTAGCAAATATATTAAAAATTTAAAATAATGTCAAATAGAACCTTAGTTAACAGCTGATATAACCGGATTATTAGCATATGCAAAAAATTTGATAACACGTGTAAGTAACAAGAAATGATTTACAAGATTAAACTAAGATAGAGGTATTGATGGTATTGGAAGTTTAAACAGTGTTGAGGTTTTTTCACGCAGTACTGAAGAATGGTGTATAGATACTAGACACCATTTTTTAATACTTAAAAGGTGCGTCAAAAAACTTCAACACTGTTTTAACCTTTAATACCACCTAATCATAGTTGGGGATTATTTTTATTCCGAAGAATTTGTAGCACATGTATTACAAGTTTAAAATAATGTAAAATAGAACCTTCGTTAACAGCTTATATAACCGGAATATTCACGGATTCAAAAAATTTGATGACATGTTACTTACACGAAAAGATTTAGAATTTTAAACTAAAGTTAGCGGTATTGATGGTATTTGAAGCTTTAACAGTGTAGAGGTTTTTGATCGCAGTACTGAAGAATGGTGTATAGATACTAGACACCATTTTTCAATACTTCCTAGATGCGGTCAAAAACCTTTGCACTGTTTAAACTTTTAATACCACCCAATAATAGTTGGGGAATATTTTTATTCCTATTACAATTGTAGCAAATATATTAAAAGTTTAAAATAATGTAAAATAGAACCTTAGTTAACAGCTTATATAACCGGAAAATTCACGGATTCAAAAAATTTGATGACATGTTACTTACACGAAAAGATTTAGAATTTTAAATTAATGTTAGCGGTATTGATGGTATTTGAAGCTTTAACAGTGTAGAGGTTTTTGATCGCAGTACTGAAGAATGGTGTATAGATACTAGACACCATTTTTCAATACTTCAAAGATGCGGTCAAAAACCTTTGCACTGTTTAAACTTTTAATACCACCCAATAATAGTTAGGGAATATTTTTATTCCTATTACAATTGTAGCAAATATATTAAAAATTTAAAATAATGTCAAATAGAACCTTAGCTAACAGCTTATATAACCGGAAAATTCACGGATTCAAAAAATTTGATGACATGTTACTTACACGAAAAGATTTAGAATTTTAAATTTAAGTTAGCGGTATTGATGGTATTTGAAGCTTTAACAGTGTAGAGGTTTTTGATCGCAGTACTGAAAAATGGTGTATAGATCCTAGACACCATTTTTCAATACTTCCTAGATGCGGTCAAAAACCTTTGCACTGTTTAAACTTTTAATACCACCCAATAATAGTTGGGGAATATTTTTATTCCTATTACAATTGTAGCAAATATATTAAAAGTTTAAAATAATGTAAAATAGAACCTTAGTTAACAGCTTATATAACCGGAAAATTCACGGATTCAAAAAATTTGATGACATGTTACTTACACGAAAAGATTTAGAATTTTAAACTAAAGTTAGCGGTATTGATGGTATTTGAAGCTTGAACAGTGCAGAGGTTTTTGATCGCAGTACTAAAGAATGTTGTATAGATACTATACACCATTTTTCAATACTTAAAAGGTGCGTTAAAAAACTTCAACACGGTTTTAACTTTTAATAACACCTAATCATAGTTGGGGATTATTTTTACTCCGAAGACATTTGTAGCAAATGTATTACAAGTTTAAAATAATGTAAAATAGAACCCTAGTTAACAGCCTATATAACCGGAAAATTAAAGGATTCAAAAAATTTGATGACATGTTACTTACACGAAAAGATTTAGAAGTTAAAAGTAAAGTTAGCGGTATTGATGGTATTTGAAGCTTTAACAGTGTAGAGGTTTTTGATCGCAGTACTGAAGAATGGTGTATAGATACTAGACACCATTTTTCAATACTTCCTAGATGCGGTCAAAAACCTTTGCACTGTTTAAACTTTTAATACCACCCAATAATAGTTGGGGAATATTTTTATTCCTATTACAATTGTAGCAAATATATTAAAAGTTTAAAATAATGTAAAATAGAACCTTAGTTAACAGCTTATATAACCGGAAAATTCATGGATTCAAAAAATTTGATGACATGTTACTTACACGAAAAGATTTAGAATTTTAAATTAAAGTTAGCGGTATTGATGGTATTTGAAGCTTTAACAGTGTAGAGGTTTTTGATCGCAGTACTGAAGAATGGTGTATAGATACTAGACACCATTTTTCAATACTTCAAAGATGCGGTCAAAAACCTTTGCACTGTTTAAACTTTTAATACCACCCAATAATAGTTAGGGAATATTTTTATTCCTATTACAATTGTAGCAAATATATTAAAAATTTAAAATAATGTCAAATAGAACCTTAGCTAACAGCTTATATAACCGGAAAATTCACGGATTCAAAAAATTTGATGACATGTTACTTACACGAAAAGATTTAGAATTTTAAATTTAAGTTAGCGGTATTGATGGTATTTGAAGCTTTAACAGTGTAGAGGTTTTTGATCGCAGTACTGAAAAATGGTGTATAGATACTAGACACCATTTTTCAATACTTCCTAGATGCGGTCAAAAACCTTTGCACTGTTTAAACTTTTAATACCACCCAATAATAGTTGGGGAATATTTTTATTCCTATTACAATTGTAGCAAATATATTAAAAGTTTAAAATAATGTAAAATAGAACCTTAGTTAACAGCTTATATAACCGGAAAATTCACGGATTCAAAAAATTTGATGACATGTTACTTACACGAAAAGATTTAGAATTTTAAACTAAAGTTAGCGGTATTGATGGTATTTGAAGCTTGAACAGTGCAGAGGTTTTTGATCGCAGTACTAAAGAATGTTGTATAGATACTATACACCATTTTTCAATACTTAAAAGGTGCGTTAAAAAACTTCAACACGGTTTTAACTTTTAATAACACCTAATCATAGTTGGGGATTATTTTTACTCCGAAGACATTTGTAGCAAATGTATTACAAGTTTAAAATAATGTAAAATAGAACCCTAGTTAACAGCCTATATAACCGGAAAATTAAAGGATTCAAAAAATTTGATGACATGTTACTTACACGAAAAGATTTAGAAGTTAAAAGTAAAGTTAGCGGTATTGATGGTATTTGAAGCTTTAACAGTGCAGAAGTTTTTGATCGCAGTACTGAAGAATGGTGTATAGATACTAGACACCATTTTTCAATACTTCCTAGATGCGGTCAAAAACTTTTGTACTGTTTAAACTTTTAATACCACCCAATAATAGTTGGGGACTACTTTTATTCCGAAGACATTTGTAGCAAATGTATTACAAGTTTAGTTGTAGATAGATCTAACATATCGACAGAAGTCTTAAAAGGTGTTTTAAAAACACCACACAATTATAATTTAATACATCGAGGCCACCTCTACTACGGTGGGTTATACATTTTGATCCAAACTGCCTCTCTTAATTTTCAGATCGTATGATTCTGCAAGCATGGGAAAGATTTTCCAGTTCACTGAAATTCCAGACAGCTTCTAATCTCACCTCCAATGGTACTTTCAAACTATTGTTAATGTTGTAATTGAAGGGATGGAGTTCATTGTTCACTGATGATATTATAGATTTTATCTTATGGCTTGACATTTTACGTTCTTCCCTAGAAAATTACAAAAATAACTTTTATTAATGAATAGGTAGGTAGACACTAATCATTATAAAATATTTATTTTACTTATATTAAAATAAAATATTTAAAACTAGATTCAAATTTTCAGGACCCTACAAAAATTGGATATTTTATTCAAAACTTACCGGTAACAGCCACCATAGTCAAAGACCCCTCTTTGTGTTATAAAATGTATGGGTAGATATAACATTATACCCAATTATGTTGGTGATATTTAATAGCCCTCAAGCCTTATATCAATTGTTTTGCCTTTAATTGGAAGTTATCGTGCATCAGTAGTGATTTAAAGCAGACAGCTTCACATAATGTTCATAGGCGATATCAATATTGTATGACTGTTGCATGTCAATAAAGTAGCTATAAATGCACCTACAAACAAAAATACTCATTGATAGCGAGATACAAAAAAAATTTTGTTACTAATTATCTAGACTCGTTACTTTATAATATAAAACATAATGAAATATGTGCATACGTGTGCGTGAATACGGGGTATATAATATGCACTTTATTTTGTATAAAATATTAATTTTTATATGGGAATAACATAGAATTTTTTTTTTGAAACTGTGATAATTTAAGCCATCATTGGAAACATATTTACAATATCAGAATTCAAAATATTTAAAATAAGAAAATACAGCATTAATCCATTATCCAGGTACTCATACGGGTTATGATAGTATCTGGAGGTAAACAGATATCCACAGCGTAATTTTTGAAAATTATTATTCGTGATGGTACTTTTTTTAAATATTTTTCTTTACATAAGCTACAATGTTTATCAATATTACCAAATTATATTCGTACTTCCACTAAAACTCTATGGAGGCCATTAGCTCTTAGTAAAAATAAATCTTTTTTTATTGAAAAAATATCAAATAAGACCGTAAATCATAACAAATTTCCAATTAATACTGTGTATAATACAAAAAATTTGTTTGTTGTTGATTTATATTAAATTATAAACATAATATGCATTAATATGCTTAAAATCTTTAAATATGCAAAATCATATCAATTTAGCAAAAAATTTAACATAATTTTTTGTATTTCGATTCTTTGTAACATCATGAAACAAATTTGTATTAAATCAGATTTTAAATATGTGGCTTATTAAGAAACATGTAAATACATGTAGTTCTGAGCCCTGTAATTATGTATAAGCTACTAAAATCAGCATATTGTTTGATATTTTAATTGTGTACACTTAAATAGATAATAATTTAGTTAAACATTTCAGTATACCTAACATACAGTGTCAGTCATGGAAGGTGAGGGAATAATTGCAACTACTGTCATTTTCCTCATCACTGAAGGCAAGTATGAGCTGCCACAAAGCACGATACAATATTCAGGCAAACATGATTCCATTCATAATTAAATATGATTATTTATGCTGAATCGTAACTTGTTGCTGGTATAAAATTCACGATTCTCATCTTGGAGGAGATATGTAGCTTATTGATTGCCGGGAAAACTACATTCTTAAAAAATAACCATCTGTAACAAAATATAAAATAAATTTTCATAAAATTAAATTCTACCATATTAGATCTCTACTACAACCAAATACTACCTAGAAATAGGTTTTGGTTCCTTATGTTTGATGATTATTACATTAACTGGGTGTTTACACTATGGGCTCAATATAAACAACAAACAATTGTATAGTAAAAGAGTATACATAGAATATTCACATGGAATATTCAGATATCCTAATCATAAACTATAATATGCTACATATATGAATGTATTATATTATATTAAGAATATTTAAAGAAAACATTTACATTTAAGACAATTATTAAGATGAGCAAAATAAAAATTTTCGGTTCAGGATGGAAATGGAAACATCTAGATGATGAAATTTGGTACACTTATGAGAATGTGATACAATTAATCAAGCCTCCTGAAGTATCCAATTCTAGAGGGATTTGTTCGGTTCCAGAAATTGAAAAATACAGAAAGTTCTAAGTCGGGTACTTATTAATAAATAATTTGAATAATATTAAAAGAAAAAATATTTAGGTAGCTATTGATTTATTTTGTTTTAATATTATAATTATTATTACTTTTATATAGGTACATTGTTTTTTTTGAAGGCTTGTTCAGGTATTATTTTGTTTTAATATTATAATTATTATTATTATTACCTATATAGAAACATTGTTTTATTTCATGTATTATTCAAGTTATATTCTGTTTTAATATTATAATTATTATTACTTTTATATAGGTACATTGTTTTATTTGAAGTTTTGTTCATCTTATATTTTGTTTTAATATTATAATTTTTATTAGTTTTATATAGGTACATTGTTTTATTCAGGTTATATTTTGTTTGTAAAACAGTTAACTAATTTTTAAAAACAAAGTGTTGCCTATTTAATATTTAATTTTAAGTATTTAAGTAAAAAGACTGTTCGTATAATAAAAAAAGACTGTTTAAGTAACAAAAGACTGTTGCCGTTAAGTAGGTACCTACTTATATTATATACAAATTAAAGAAATTATTATTATTACCTAAATAGTATTGTATAAAATTATTATATTAATGATTATGATAATGGTTTTTAGTAAAGTAAAAAATGTAATCTGATATGGCCAGAAATGGTACAAAACAATGACCACAAATAGTACAACGGTGGCTAAAACTGGTGCATTCTACTTTTTTATTTTTCATTAAAGATTTAAAAATGTTCTCATGCCTTTTTGTCTTAGAAATTGTACAAATAGAAAGAAAATAACATGTAGCTAGGTACATAATTATCAGTTTTAAAATTTTAATTTTCACTAAATAAAAAAAAATTATCACAAATTTGTTTTCTCTTAAATTGGCCAAAACTGGTACACTGACCCTACAAAATACTTTTTCAATTTTAAATTTGATAAATTTTGTCAAAATTGGATCTTTAAATGCTTATGAAAAAAAATTGTGCTTATGTATTTTTCATACTTTTAAACTGATATTGTAACAATATATCAGGAGCCTTGTTTTATATTTTTACACTTTTTGGCTCAAGAGAAAACTGTAAATGTCCGTAAACAGCTCGAAAAACGTTAAAATATTTTCAAAATTGCATGGTGTATAGGAACTGCTAATATAAACATTCAGTGAAATTTCCATGTATCTTCAGTTATTCGTTTTTTAATTACAACAAAATAAGGAAATCTCTACATGAGAAATCGAGTGAATATCCAATGTTGTAAAAATTTTAATTTCAAACGCTCATAAAAATTTAATTTGACTCTTATAGACATTTTTTTTTTTTGATAAAGGTAGATAATCTTATACGGAATCTTGTATTACATTTTAAAATCTTAGATTTAAAAAGAAAATGTTTTATGAATTCTTAACTCAAAATAATTTGCTAATTTTCGTGATTTTTCTATATTTTGTCAATTTTTGAACTTTAAATGTTTATAAAAAAAACTGTGATTAAGGATTTTTAATATTTTTCATCTGCCTTTGAAAAAACATACTAGGAACCTTCTATTAAATTTTTAAACTTTTTTAACTAACAAATAAAATTGTATTGATATTTTTAGAAAAAAAACTAAAAAAAAAACGGAAATGAAAATGTCAATAAACAGTTCAAAATAAATCAAAATATTTTGAAAATGTAATCGTGTATAGAAAATGCAAATAAAAACAATCAGTGAAAATTGCATGTATCTACGGTCATTTGTTATAAAGTTACACCAAAAACCAAATTCAATTTTGTGAAAAATCAATTTTGCGTAAAAATTCCCGTTTTTCCTTAATTTTTCTTTTGTTTTTCTTGGCGCTTTTGAAAATTACTGGGAATTTTGACGTCCCCAATGTACCAACAATATTCACTTTCCAATCGAACAAGATATTGAAGTTGAAAATCGAAGCATTATTTCGACTACTTATTGTGTACGGACACAAAAAAAAAAACACACATCATTGTAAAATCAATAATTGTTCCACTCAGAATCTAAAATTTTAATTTTTTAATTTTTCAACTACAAAATGTCCCTGTGCCTATAATTAGCTCAAACTTTTGAAAATGCCAATTTAAACTATCGGTGGAAATGTTATGTATCAACATTCATTAATTTTGGAAAGTACTGGGAATTTACTTTTGACCCCCCTCACTTCCCAAAAATTATGAACTAGATTCACTTTCCTATCAGAATAGATGCTAAAGTAGATAAAGTAAAGAAAAGATTCACTTACAATATTACAGAATAATATGCAGAGTGCTTCACCTACCATGTTCACCTCCATTTTTTTATGTTTAATCAATTTCTTCCAATTCTGATTTTCAAATTTTTTTTATATACTTAATATATTAAATTATATACAAATTATATACTTAATTTATTTATATACTTATATACTAAATCCACTAAAAAAATTAAATTCCTTTGAACCTCAGTTCTTATATTGGGTAATTGGTCAAAATATCCAAATTTATCCGTTTTTACAAAAATTAGTAGATTACACTTTACTTTCTAATAAAATTAGCTCAAATAATATAAAATATAGATAGTTAAAATATAAAATAGTATTCAAGCATTTTTACGAAACAACTGAAATTCTATAAATAAAAAAACTTTAATAAAATAGAAAAAGATCTAGGAACTAATCTGGTTTAATATTTTATTTTATTGTGTATATTTTGTATTCATAAATACAAATTATTTTACGTTTTATTTTATATTATTTGACAATTTGAATTATGTGTATGCAGTGAACAGTTTATTTTGTGACATTATTACTACTAAAGTAATTTATATATTTATATTTATATGATTAATATTATATTATATTAGGTATATTTTTATAATTAAATAATTTGATATTTGAGCTAATTATATTAGAAATGAATGTGTTATGCACTTATTTTCGAAAAACGGATACATTTGGATATTTTGTCCTAGATTCCTCATCTTGAAACAAACTAAAAAATTTGTTTGCTTAATATTTACTAAGCTAAATATTTTAATAATCAATAAATTAAAAGTACCTAATTAATATTTTAACACAATATATTGTTGTTTAGATTTACACCTAAAATATATGAAATATAATATTATGAATATTTATGTTACTTACACTGATGTTTAAATAATATTCTAATTTGAATAAATTTAAATCAAAAGCATCACATCTAGGATTAATAGTAATATTTTATCAGGTATATTATTGTTTATTTT